AGTCCAGGCACGCATCCAAACAGCCCGGTTTCGGTGTATAAACGGAATGCTGAGTCACGAGGACTGCAGAAGATATTCTTATTCGAGTGAATAATGCAGTTGTTATATATATATGGGTTTTCGCGGAATCAGCCCGTGATGCTTTATACTACCATTTCGTATTTTCATGCTTTCGGGAAGGATTCAGCATGAGAATTGCTGCGGAGTATCTGTGGGAGACTGTTCCATTTCAATGCAGAATATTCAGTTATAATACCCCGAGACCTTCAAAATTATCGGAATATTTCCCGATAGCTTCATTGCAAACAAATGAGAGTGTCAAAAAAATGCAGAAAAATTGGAGAAAAAATTGAATATTGTGATTCATTTTAAAGCTCGAGGAGTATTCGGCGGAGAATTTTCTGGGACTGGATTTTGGTAAAGCGGAGTGCAGTATTTGAGGGCTTCTTCCACCAAAACATCTAATTGGTTAGAAATAAATGAAAAACTACTATGCAATTATCAGTAGTAATACCACGAGACCTCGAAAATTATCGAATATTCCCCGATTGTTTTGTTGCGTAGCAACGAGAGGGAGAAGTTTTGCAGATTAAAATTTTTGTGCAAAACTTATCCCGATCGTTAATACACAGGAAAACATGAGGGAAATGTTCGATTAATTTTGGAGGTCGAGTGGTACTCGACGGATTATTTTTGGTAATCGGATCTGACTTTCTTCATGACTTTCTTTCACTCCACAGGATAATATTTGATACTTATTTGGTTAGAGAAACAATTGCAGAGCTAGAGGGAAATTACCAAAGGCTACGGGGAAAATATCAAAAGCTAGGGGGAAATTAGCGCTGTAATTTTAATTGGGAAGTACTTCATGTTATTAGATACTGAACTCCGATTGGTCCAGGGGAGGCCAGATCCGATTACCAAAAATAATCAGCTATAATACCTCAAGACCTTCAAAATTATCGAATATTTCCCGAATGTTTTGTTGCATAGCAACGAGAGGGATCAGTCTTGCAGATTAAAATCCCAAGCGCGTAGCGCGAGGACTCAATTAAACAAATTTTGAAATAACAAAATCGACAAATTGAGCTACGTTTTTAAGACATTTGTATTGCGGTAAGACATGCATTCTAGACATTTTAAGTGTTTTAATCTGGATCTTCTGATTCAAACTTAGAAATTTGGATACTTTGCTCCGAAAAAATTCGCCATATTTTGCAGAAATCATCTGACGAATATGAGGCGCGCCTGATTCAAAAGGAACTTTGTTGGTTGTGGCCAGGACTCGCCCGCGGATTGATATTCAATAGGGTTGATGGAAAGCGTCGATTGAAATCTAAATCCACTTCGGAAATTTCATAACATTGTATGTATCCGCCGTTGGATAATTTCCATATTGCTTTGAGGGTACACTTGCAAACAAAGAACTTGGGAACCTGGACTGCTTATACAACCATTTTCACTGGGGAAATGAGGTTCGGTGGACCGCGGTGTATGAGATAGCTCGTAATTATCTCAAATGGTTCGCATTCAAACATTTATATTCGTGGTATTTACGAAGAGAAAAGTGTTATAAACATCTAACATATTTGCTGAAAAGTTTTATTAAATTTCTATTGCATTCTCCAATCAATTTTTGGCCTATTCTAGGTATTAAAAACTTCCTTTGCTCAGATTTTTTAAATTTTATTGTCTGGATTTTTTAAATTAAAAGAAAAAAATTGAGTTGAAAAAATTGAGACAGTTCATGCCGATAAATTCCTATCGAAAATATCTGAATAAAAAAATCTGGAACAACAGAAGAAACTACTAAAATTAACCACAAGTTGCCGGACATTTTACGATGACTATATTATTTAAACTTTGCAGGTCTGAATTTGAATCTAAATATTGAATCGATAGAAAACATTGTAAAGATCTGAAAAAAAAATTGATGAAATAATGTTAAAAGTACAATTTTTTTAAATTATGAGCATTTTCTATAAATAATTTATAAACAATCAATTTTCCACTATAAAAACCATTTGTTCGGTATCGTAACAAATTTATTCATCTTCAAAATTTGACCAAAGATCGATTTCATGCCCAAAAAAATGAGATTCTCGAGAGTTTAAATATTTAAATAATTTTAATTGTTTATTTGTGAACAACGAATGTTAAAAAAAATAATTCGGTTTTGTACCAAACTGTAAAAGATACCTGGATATCCTTGATCCTCATAAAATTGTTATCCCTTACCCCAATAACCAAAGAAGATTAACATTTTCCAGCCGCGAAACCACAGCTTTTCAGAAATGAACACCCTCAAACCCCCCCTCCCCCCCCCCCCCTTTCAT